TCTGACTGAGCTCTGGGGTCTCTGGCTGAGCTCTGGGGTCTCTGACTGAGCTCTGAGGTCTCTGACTGAAATCTGGGGGTCTCTGACTAAACTTGGCATCTAAGTGTCCCCTCCCCTGCCTGGAGCTAAGCACAGTGTGTGCTCCAGGGCATTTGCCTGAGACCCATGTAGGGCCTCTCTCCTCTCCTGTCTTCTCAAGGTCTCCCCTTCACGTTCTGTATGTTTTGATAACACCTTCATAGGAACCCCTCACACTTTCCCACCACCCCACAGTTTAGTAACGCTCACACCTTGTTCCCACATCTGAGCTTCTCCATGAGGCAGCAGGTCAGCCGCGATTTCCCCAGCTGATAAGCCGGCAAACAGCCTTCGAGACCCTGGGTCATTTCCTTCTCTCCTTTTATAACATTCGGACTTTCCCTCTTCCGTTCACTCATGCGCACTTATTTATCTTTGTCTGATTTTGATTTTTTGTTTTTAATCTGGTAGAAGTGATGGGAACTAAAAAATACCTCTTGCCTGCAGATTGTAGGAAAATATGTCACATCATGATCTCTCTCCCCCTTCCTCCATCTTGGAGAACTCTACTGCTTTACATCCCTCAAAGGAGCACTTTCAGTTAGTCACGTCCTTTGCCGATAGAACTCCTGCCTCACAGTCTGGTCAGGTTTGTAGACACCCTAGAATGCTCCATCTAGGGGGAAGCTTTGGCAGAGCCAACCACAAGCCATGGTGTCAACTGGTTTAACATAGTGTCAACCCCCAAGTGTCTGGGGAGGTGTCTCCTGGGCAGCCCCCTGCACATCTGCTCACGGCAAAGGTCATGGGCAGGAGGTCAGCGAGGCTGCGTTTGAGGAGGGAGTCCGTTCGGGCTTGGGAACAGAAGGAAGACAGAGGCCTGGTGCAAGTCGCCACTGTCATGTGGCTAAGGTTTCTCCCATGATAATAGAGCCAGCGGCACAAGGGGAACACAGCCACTGTGCCGTTATGCTAAACCTACATTTTCAAACATCAATCATCCTTAAAGTAACTCTTTGAGAGACTCCTGGATGCAGAAGCAAATACTTCAAACTATTGGGTTTATCAAGGGATTTTGTAGAGGAAACCCACTTGCAGGTCCTCCCCAGGGAGAAGCAGTAGAGCATATTGACCTTGACCCGTATTACCTGGGGCACCAACTGCCTGATCCTGGGTCTCCTCATGTTCACAGGAAGAAGCCCTTCTCCAACACAAGCAACATGAGGATCAAGACAGACGAGTCAGGCAGGAGCATCCATGGGGGCCCCTGACACAGGGCAAGTGCTCTGCAAGGAGGAACGGAGGAAAACACCATCAGCCAAGGCTGTTCTGTGGTGGTGTGCTGGGAGTCATGCACAGCCCTCCCTGTCTGGTGGGAAATTCTAGAAAATTTTGCATCCATAGAGGATGCAAAAGCCAAGGCTCATGTTTGTCTTCCTCCATAGGCTTTCTGAGTGGTGACCGGAGGGAGGCCATATGGGTTTGGTTTGTAAATACTGAGTCCGCCTCCCTGCCCACCCTTGAACCCCCCACTCCTTGTTCTCTGTTGACTGGGGAGAATACTCTGCCTTCTCTCATGGGTCGGCAACTAGCCTTGATACCTGCCACGTTTGTTTAGCAATGCTTGCTGTGGAAAATCACGGGGAAGCAAATTGCTTTTTCTCAGAAGGGAGTCAAGGACCTATTTGCAAACCCTGCTTCCTGGAAGCCAGCATTGGAGGGGCCTTTGTTGGAGGAAGACAGCCGGAGAGAGTCCCTGGGGTGGGTGCGGAGAGCCAGTCCCACTGAGAGCCAGCTGCTGGGGCTGTCAGGCCGAGATGGGAGCGAGCTGGCCTTCAGGAACACGCAGTGAGCGTGTGTCCAAAGTACCCCATATAACAGGTTCCCACTCATTTGAAATAATTAGACTGACATCTGGGGGTGATTTATAACCATAGTTTATTTTATGCAACTGTAAAACTCCACAGTTCGGCAGGGTGATGAAGGCTGCCAAGGCCGAAATGTGAACGTGACATTGTTAAGCTAAAGAAAATGCATCTGTAAATCACGTTGCACATCCTTATGGGGATTTCAGGTTAATGTTCTCAAGGTGACATCATTTTGGACTCCAAAACCAGTTTTATGAAATGGTCACAAGGAAAAAATAAATTTGCACAAACAAAACAAATTTTAAAATTTGGGAGGGGCAGGAAGAAAGGGGAACTTACTTGAGGGTCCCTGTCTCTGCATGTGTGAATTCCAATTGGGGAACGAAACCCAAAGGAGAACATTTTGGCAAGATGGAGTATAATAAGGGCTAGGGTTTGCTGAGCATTTACTAGATCCAAGTGCAATGCTGGGTACTTTTAAGAAGTATCTCAGTTAATTCTCACAACAACGCCATGAGCTAAGTTCCACATTGGTGAGACAGCCAGAGCACAGAGAACCGGTGTAACTACCCCAGGTTGCCAGGCTTTACAGGGGAGGGAGGTGATATTCATTTGGGCACAGGCTGACCCCAGAGCCCTGGCACACCCCTCACTGTCTGGATTGAAAACACAGATGTAATGGAAGGGATCTGTTCCATAGGGCCCGAGAAACCAACATCCTGTCTTCTCCACCAGCTTCCCAACGGGGCCTCAGTGTCAGCATCTGTTGAATGGGGATGATGCTACCTATTATGTAGAGGCATCATTGGGATAATGTTAGTGCCAAGTCGTTTCTCAGGGTTTGCTACCTCCTCCCTTTTCCTTTTCCTTTCTCCTATAGAAAGTGAGCTGAATTAGACTCGACCTGAGTCTGCTCTCAGCAATCTGGGGGGTATTTTATATCTGAACGTTAGCT